CTTTAGTGGCTAGTTTTAGAACGTAAGGTATGCTACCTGTTCCAACAGCCAGTTGGCTCGTTACAAAGTCAGTTAGTCGAACTGAGTTTTGGACGGACAAAAAAATGGGATGACATCATCAATTTGACTGACACAAGCCTTTAAATTTACCCATGCACCATGGCCGGCTCCAAATTCTCAAACGTCTCTTTTTATTGAGAGTTTTTATCATTACATCTGTAAAATGCAACTGTAGCAGGTAAGTCACTATCATTATCCTCATTTTATATTTAAGGATGCTACAAATGATATCCAGTTACAAAAAAGCTTGAAAAGACGGCAGTTAGAACCAAAGTACAGAGTCATTGCTATGGAGATGATACGCAGTGTCATTGGCGTGAACTGGCAGCATTTCAGGATGTTGCAGACCAGTGAGTTGCAAGTAGTTGCAAGTTTCGATCCATCTGGGAAAAGGAAATCAATACTGTGTTTCCTGATAAAGTATGGAGGACTGCACTTACGTATTCATAATTGTTCAATAAACAGCAGACAGGTTAATTCAGTTCAAATAGGGTCACCATTTTCATTATTCTAATGTCATGTCAAATAAATACTACACCTCTGTTTCTCTAATCTGTGATAAATGTAAGGCAGATGATAAACATTTTGGTTTTTTTGGCTCTCTAGCTAAGAGGACTCTTTAACTCTCCCTTCAAACAGCTCTATTGATTGGCATGGTACTGGCAGAAAATGTAATCTAGTTTTGTTCCTGCATACTCTGCATACTATTTTTGATGGATTACATTTAATAATAGGCAATATGTTGTGTGCTACCAAAAAGAGGCTTTCCAGTCGGGTACTGGAGCTAGAGTGTGTTTCCAGCTGTAGTTGAGGACTCTGCAAAGCTGACACATAAAATCTTAATTAGATGATTAAGTCGCACTCCCACAGAAGCAAAGCTTTGAAGCCCAAAAGATGGAAGCTGCCACATGCCAGAGAAATACCCACATACAATAATATTGACTGTCTCAGACAATCCCAGACACATACACATCCTCCCTCTGATCTCCTACACAAAGACTCGACTAAAAGCCTGTTAGCACACACACACAGTACTGTCATCAGGGAATTCTGGTTACAGTGTGTCTTACACTGGCACTCACACACAGTTGCCTACCTCGCAGTCTACCAGCCCGCTGTATGGCCTGGTTGACAGACTTGAGGCAGGCCAGAAGTGCATTGTGGTTGTTGGAGCGGATTTTATACTCGTTGACCAGATCCCTGTTGAGATCGTACAGCTCTCTGTAACGCTTCTTCATCGTTGTCCTACAGAGGAAAAGAGAGGAAAAAGAAAATATGTGGAAAAGAGAGAGTGGCTTGGTTTGGAGCTGAGGTAAAAAAGACTTATCAAGTTTGTTTGTTTTGTTGTTTTAAAAAAGAGGCCTTTGCGGTAAAGGCTTGTGGTGCTATTCATCTGTTTTGTATTGTATTGACAAGTGTTTCTATTATTTTGTCCATCACATTCATATCAGTGATGGTAGACTAAATATTAGAAACATCTCTCATCATAACAAAATACAACAGACCTCTTTCACAGTACATTTTGAAAAATGTTTTAATAGAAGAAAAAATAAAGTAGTAACAATACCACAGCTCTGGAAGTGGTTGACTTAAATTGGTATTAATTACACTATGATATGTTAGTAGGTATATAAAGTTATGAGTTTAAGGAATTATCCATGCATTGCTTGTATTTCACATACAGGGACTATAACTGAGACCCATTAAATATACTGTCACTGAATAAAGTGGAACTATTTATATTGTGGTAACTCACATGTCACCCATAAGGCGAGCATCCTCTGCTTGCACCAGCATGTTCCTGATGTAGTTGGAGTGGTCGGCCATAGCTGCAGTTAACTTCTGATGGACGGAGTGGAACTCGTCCACCTGGGATGCAGATATTTAAGACTCAATATTATATAAGCACAGCCCCAAAAGCATGTCTCTGTTGTTCTGTAGGAACAGGCCACAGCTGCAATTTCAGTAAACTCAGTAAAAATGATCTCTTAACTTTTAGGTCTAAACTAAACTAGAATCACGACATTCGTTTCCCATGTACTTCTCTTCTCAGCCTTGGCAAGCCTTTTACACTGGTTGCCTTTGTAATGAAAGCTGTAGTCAGGTCAATGTACATGTAACGATGGACAGCAGAAGTTTCAATCTGATTAAGGCCAAACCTCAGTGAGCGTGGTCCGTAGCTCCTCGAAATATCCAGGGAAGTCTGCTTCTGCTGACAGGTCCTCTATTGCCAGGAAGGAGGCCAGTGATTGGACCAGATCTCCCGCCAGATCAATGTCATCGGTTCTCAGAGTGATCTGATTGGGCAAATTAATGATTAATTAACCGACTGACTTCTGTTGATTTAAAAGGAACTAATGATGATGATTGATGACAGTGAAAAGACTTTTGGCTGTGATATGGCTAAATAAACTAATGCCATTGATTTCATTGGTATTCTCAAATCACAGTGACTTAATGTGTACTTGCACCTTGATCCTCATGTTAATGTAAAGTTAAGTTAAAGCTGACTGAATTGTGTGTGTGTGTGTGTGTGTGTGTGAGTGTGTTGTTTTACTTGTCCATTGCTGGCCATGCTGATGGACAACAGTCCCCCTCCTCTTAGTGAATTAAAAGTGACATCCGGACTGTCGACTCCCTCTGGAAGCAGGAAGTTCTGGTTCAGCCACATGACCACCTACACACCCACACACACGTAAACAGTTACATACACAGATCCAGAGAGATGAGATCAGATTGAATTAACAAACATATGTCAGCATGTTATCGCCTTGAACACGTTCTGATCTGAATCACACTTCCTATTGTTCTCTGTCTTCCTGAGAGACGCTCTGACCACTTACCCGCTGAGGTCGGTCGTTGATGCTGAAGGTGACCCTTCCAGGGGGCGGAGCAGCTGAGGAGTCCACTGTGATGTCATACATGGAGAAACGAGGCAGCTGACGAGTGATCTCAAACACGTGGAACTGGGTGCTGGAGTGGGCAAAAAGAAAGAAGTGAAGAAAAGGTGGTGGGGTTTGAGGGGGTGACAGAAAGTATTATAACAATTATTATTATTATTATTATTATTAAGACAACACACACACATGCCTTACTCACACACACACCTTACCTCGTTTTCCCTCCAACAAAGGCTTTGATGTGCAGATCTACTGGTATATCTTTTGGGGGGACAATGGGGACTCGGATACAGCCTGAGAGGTTCTGGGCACTGGGGTGGACAACGTGGCTCTCGCCCTCAAATATCCCCTCAGCAAAGATGAGCACTGCACGGATAATGGTTTCTGGGGAGGAAAAAGAGATTCAGGTCATTTTTGGTATTGACTCAGTCCTTGACATGCTTGAAATTCTCAGCTTAAGTGCTAAAACGCTCTATACCATTTGGTGTTGAAATGCTGAGCTCTACATGAGCCTTCTGGGCCTCTGTAGCAGGTCTCACTGACAGCGCTGTCTGGAGCTGAGTATTGGCTGGTATGACACCCACCCCACTGTTTGTCTCTGACACACCCTGAAACAACAGTAAAGTTTGTAAGGATGTTAGCATGCACATAATAATATACAGCCCAATGGTAATTAAGGACAAGGATTAAGTTTAGTTTTCAAATTTTAAGCCACCAACATCTTGTTGACAACCAACAGTTAAAATGGAAACATATACATTCAAGGAATAAATGCTTAAATCTATATTTGAATATATCACGTATGATATAAATAAATGACTGAATACAATGTCACCCAATACTTTGTCACAAGTGACAAAAAGGACTGATTAAATATATTTACCTTGGCATTCTCCTCATAGTTGCGCAGCTCCAGCAGGAGATTCTGTCTGCGCTGGCTGAGCTCTCTAATGAGGTCCTGTTCAGCACTGGAGTCCATGAGATTCCCTTTAAGGTCCTTACTGGCCGGCAGGTAACCACGGACTGCAACATACACACATTTACAACACTGATGACATCCAAATACAAGCTTAAAAGGGTGAGTTCTCCCAGAACTGCCAGTACAGGTAGGGAGATATTAGCTCTGATATGAAAGTAACACAAAGAAATACTGCTAGCATTTATCCGGGAACACACACACAATGTCCAAAATTCAAATCTCATATACACATGTACACAGAAAACAAACAGGCAGACACACCCAAGCAACATACCCTCCCCCTCTATGGAGGTGCAGATAAGTTGCTGCTGTCCATCCAACCTGTAGTCTCCCTCCACCACTCCGGCCACAGAAGAGGAGAAGTTGTCTTTGAAAATGACCTCGCCTGTGCGGTCGCTACGAGCATCAATCTGAAATAAAAGGGGAATGTATTCAAAGGCTGAGGACCGGGTTTGCGATTGTGTCCAAGAACCTAATTACCAATCCCATTCTTGAAGTGTGAGAGGTTGTTTCTAGATGTCAGGCCTGCTAGGCTGTGAGCTGACCTTTCCATTGGACCAGCCAGTGATAAGCTCCACCACCCCATCTGCATTCAGGTCAAAGGCATGGATGCTCATTGCGTGATTCTTTGACTGAAAAGGAAAACATACATTACTAAAAAGGAAATAGAGGCACATTACATTTAAGGTAGGGCTGTTCCTTTAAAGAGTGTAGAGTCAATCAGTTTAAATACACACTCATGAAGACTTGGTTAAGGACATGTAACAAGACATCGGACAGTTTGCATTATGAAAGATATCAACATCACACATAAACCTACCAAATGTCAAAGTTATTTATTCTTATTGTTTTATAAGGTTTGATGATGATTGTGCTACCTTAATCCTCCAGTAGCGGGCGGTGCGGTCATAAACTCCCACAGTGCCATTGGCCAGGGCATAGCCAAACCTGCTTCCATGCATATGACACAGTGATGTTACTGTCTGTATGGAAAAGAACAGAGGACAAACTTACTCTGTCTGCTCCAGTGCACCACAATAAGATACACATAATAAACACAATGTTGTCAGTATTTATGGGTTTCTCTGGAGTAAGCAAGCTTAAAAAGCCATCCATCCATTTACCTCATTTTCAGTCATCTCAGAGACAAGCTCATCCTCTTTGAATACCCTGATATCAAAGTCCTCTGATCCTACCAGGAGCTGTAAACAAAATACACAGCAGTTGACAGCATTTCTAAATTAGCATATTCATATGAAGAAATATTAAATTTCACTCATGTTTACTGCTCAGATATGACTATAAACCAAGCGCCAACTTCTGTGGCTGGCACATTAAGCTAAAAGAGGGGCCAACAACGGCCACTTGAAGCTGTCTACAGAAGTGAGTCAGTCTCCATAAGGCCACATATTAAAACGGCCAACTTCACAGCTGAAATAAACATGTTTACAGCCTGCTCCAAAAACTGTTTTGGTCTGTATAGCTTATTTCCCTGTTCATGACAACAGTACAGGGACTCAGTTTTTATATAACTCACCCGATTAAATTATATTAAGACTTCGGGTTATACATGAGAGTGTAGCTGCTTTGAGCGACAGGTGGGTGCTGTCACAGGAGGCTGATAAGACTAGATGGCGATGGCCAGAGCCGACCACACTGACCTTCACAGCGGCTCTTCAGAAACCTAATGGGTGACATCTATGGAGACTACATCCATTTTTATTTAGACACTCTGTGCTGTAAACATGTTTATAGTAGGGAGCTATAGAAAACAGGAGAGCGGAAGGAGGAAGACAATCCACAAAGCTCCACAGTTGAAGAGGCCACAGAGCAACTGACTGCCAGTCAGGACTTACCTCATTTTTTCCATCCCCAGTGAAGTCACAGAGCACCAGAGACCTGACATTATCTCCAGTTACCTAAAAACAACATACTTTTTGAGTACAAAGATATTTAAAGGAAGCTTTGATCTTGACAGGGACTTTTGGATTCACTTATCCACTCATGTAAAATGAACAGGCCTTCTCAAATACACTAGAAAAAATGGTCTTGTCCAGTAAGTGGCCAGATGCTGGATATACAGAAATATAAATAATTAAATTGTGCTGTTACCAAACAAGTTCAGTGTTAATGACTGCATTTAAGGTTTTCAACATCTAGTTTTGTATTAGTTATATTGCTATTCAATGTAAAACAGACTGTAATGTACTCTGATAACTACTAAAAGGTGTTAGTTCTTACTGTCCAGAAGTGGTCGTTGCCCTCATAGTCAAAGCCTTGTAAGGCGCAGTTCCCTCCAATGATGGCAAGAGGAGTCGGGATGTCCCCGAGTTTTCCCAACACAATAGCATTGGCCCCATCCGTCACCTACACCCACACGGAGGAAACAGAAACAAGTGACATACTGTACAGTAGCTGTGTCCTTCTCATTCTGAAGTTCTGCTTTTAAATTGTCGGATTCATTAATGGCATCATCATCAGTAGCCTCAGGTACATGTTCATTTCAGAGCCTCTGTCATCAAAACCCTCCAATATCAGAGAATATACCAGCACCCAGGTGCTCCCCCATCATACTGTGACAGCGAGCTAATTTAAACACATTTTTCATCCTCATGTCCGCATTTATTCATAGTAATAACGAGACAACGGTGCTAATATAAAGCCAAGCAGGAAAACACAGCACACAATCACCTGCTACCTCCAATATACCCAGAATAAAAATGTATCTTGGGTCTCCAGCTACCCTATAAACCTTTTAGAGAAAAAGATTAGAAAAACAATGCTTTGTAATAATTTCTGACATTTTGACACTAGAACATTGTGTAGGAATACCAGGGAATTGAGTACTTAAATGAATATAATTAATAATTTACACACGGTGTAAGGTAGTCCCAGGTCGCTGAAGACCTAAAGGTGTGCATTAACGCTCTAAGCAGACATTTTACAAAAAGGAAAGAAGAAATTGAGAAATAACCTCAATGCTGCGACATACATTTTTCACTGTGATTAGTTTGTCTTCCATTCCCAGCAGGACCTACCACTGCATCCCAATATATCCCTCTCCTCAGCTCCACTCACCTCCCTGTAGAATATATCAGCATTGTCATGGACGTCATAGGCCAGCAGGTTGGTCTGAGATCCCACCAACAGCGTGTCTCCAGCGGTGTTTGGTCCCAGTGTCCCTGCTGTCAGACAAGTGACTGCCTGGTTGATGTTGAGCAGAGAGATATCAGAGTCCTGGGTGCTCTGGCTCAGTCGGTGGGCCACAGGTCTCTGACCACGAGCATGAGGGTTGTGGATAAAAACCTTTCCAAGAGAAAGAGAGTTGAGGGCATAATTACTATTAAAGGTGAGACTGTTTGTTTATAATTGGAAGTGAAGTACTGTAGAGTTCAGAAAGACATGGATACTCTCTATACATAATGCTATAACCAGGCCACAAAAACAAGCATGGGATTTGTAGTTAAATGTTGTAAAAGAATGAAGAATTGTAGTCAGACAGAAAACATGCTATACTAGTACTTTCTGTTCATTATATATTAACCAAAGTTATGTTCACACAGTGAAAATGTTCATTTGCCTCACCTTTCCAGCCTGTGTGGCTGCAGTAAGACATGGGTGGACTCCATCAAACTTCCCAACAGTCACCATGCGAGGGTTAATCTTATGGTTCAGCTTCAGAGTGAATATGGGGACCAACATGGTGTCTCCTGTATACTCCTAAACAGACAAAAACCAAGAAGACACCAGCTGTAGGAGGCAGTTTATTAGTTCAGTTCTTTTTTCAGATATTCACGTAAAGAGTGGCCAACCCAGCACATGAGCAAACTATTTTGTCATGCACACAACCGAGTGACAATGCGTGATTTTGCTACTAATGTAATTACAGGCTTTACCTCCGCACTGAGCGGGGAGTCCCGTTACCTAGCAACAACGAGTGGCAAGCGAACTAAAGCTTTTCATCTGGTTAATCTGCCTGTCGTTTGCTGTACAAGGCTGACAATTGTTCACCAAAAAGACAGAGCACATGGCTCTTTAACATATCCTAAGCCCTGTATCAGTAACAAGTGCGGTATTAATACTTCGAAATAAAATAAAATCGCCTATATTTGTCTTCATTGCCCTGCGAGCCTAGCATAACTGGCTAACGTTAACGTCGCTGACTTCAATGTTGCCGGAAACAGCGACAAACAACTGCCGGCACTCACAAACGAGAAGACCGTGTCAGGTTGTACAGACAGCCTCACCTTCCCCCTCCTCAGCTGCAAATGTTGGATTTTAGTTAATAAAATGAGATATCCAGCTAATGAGCGCTCAGAGTTGGCAGAGTCCCTGCCAACAACAACTTCCTGTCTACCGTTTTCAAAATAAAAGACATAATGGTGTGATTGAGATGAATTGTAGTCCACATCCTACCTATAGATACTCAAATATATGTTGGTT